CCCCCCAAGAAATTTCAAAAGGCACAACCTTTACTTTGAAGGAGAACGCTCTATCGCAGTGATTTGTATGTGTTTATCTACCTCAAACATACCGTCATCCAGAGCAGACCAAGTGTGCAGCATTAAGTTACCACGGCAATGAATCCTGGTAAGAAACCTAAAGTTACCTTAAATTCTGCTTCATAGTTGAAACTTGTGATGTCGGTCCTCCTGCATTTATAATGTTTTTTCAACAAGACAGTAACCATCAGGGCCAAAATCACCCCATACTCTGGATTGAGTAGGTTAATTTCTAAGGATGTGTTCAAACAACACTCTGAGGATTAATCTGACCTTTCCACTGACAGTCACTGACTCTCCTGATTTGCCAAATTAGACAGTAAAGCTGTGCAGTATCACCTCACTTCTTTGTTGCCGTTTAGCCAGTGGGTATTGTAATGAAACTCTGCTCTGATATTACTTTGAAGGACGCTATCATTCCTGTCATGATGACAGTAATAACTATAAAACATCCGCTGCAGAGCTGCACAGCTCTCCTGCACCTTCTTGCTGATGCAGGCTACAGTGACCAACCAGCTGTCACCTACATGATGTCTGATTTCATATTACGGTGTGAGGTCTGTCAGCCTTCATCCTGTGATTGGCACTCACTCAAGAGAGCCAACATCTGATTTCTAGCCAGTTATTGAAGATAAACGGATATTACTTTCTTTTATGAAGCAAAGAGACCGGCAATCACTGCAGTGCGTGTGTCATTAGCCCTCAAATGAATCAGGACAATGGCCGTGCCAAGTGAGAGCGGCGGCAATTTAGGCTGCAAAGAGGAAATGCCCTGTCAAATCGATCTGCCTGCTGTGACATATCAGTATTTAACCTTCCTGCAGTCTCTATCTGAATGGTGTCGGCACATGATTTTGCACACCGGGCTGCTGTGGAGAATTGTTCCTCCCACTCCTCAGACCTTTCACCTGCTGCAAAGGAAAAAAAGTTGCTCAAAGGATGTCTTTACTGAGCAGTGTCTTCATTTTGCAGCGTACGTGGAGCATTTAGACCCAAATGGATTGCATGTTCATGCAAAGGCATACAAGAACAGTTAGGAAGGAAAAGAGCAACCCCCGGGATGCAGGGAGAGTGACATCTGTTGGGCACATGGGGAACTACGTCTCTGTATGTTATTTAATGTTCCTGAAAGAAAGACTGACACCACTGACAACTTCTCCAAAGACATTTTTTTCCCAACTCCAAACACAGCAAAACACTGCATATTTTATCACACAAGAATTCATTTAAACTTTGCCTTAGGTGATGTGCACTGTAAACAGAAAGCCTGTCCGGTTAATGCAGATGTCAGAAGCTTGATGCGTCCTTGCCTGCTAACAACAATGCCACACAAAAACCATTGCAAAGCTCTTTTTTTTTTTACAAATTGACTTCCTGTCAGGAGGATTAGTCCATTTAAATGCAGATTTCTACCTGGTGTTGTGCCGTATTGTCTGACTCTCAGTGAGAAACGATTAAGTGCATGGGCGGGGTGCGACACCCCCCCTCCATTTAGATGAAGCTTTTGCCTCCAAGTTTATTTGTCATTCGCACAGAAGAGATCCAAATGCTGAAGACAAGACTTTAATAACTGGTTCCCAAGGACCAAAGTGACAGCTGAGAAAAACCGCTGAGCCGTCTGGAGAAATAATAGAGGCTGTTGCGTTATGCGTAGATTTCACACATTTTTTTGGAATTTGAAGAGGACAGATTTACAGCTCCGGTACACAGTTAAAAGTGCCCAGACACCTGAGCACAACACACTGACACTGATGTACCAAAACATTAAAAACACTCAGAAATGAAACCAATATTGTTGGTTATTTTGGCAAGTGAGCAGTCAGTTTTTAAAGCCAGTGTGCTGGCTGCAGGGAGAATGGCCTTGTGCAACGATACTGGGGATTTTAATAAAGGTCAGATTTTTAAAAAGCTGAAAACCATGAACCCAAAATACGCCCGTAACCTTTTTAAGGTTTGCTAAAAGAAGATGGTACATTTGAAAATCCATCCATCCATCCTCTTCTACTTATGTGTCAAGTTGCAGCAAGCTAAACAGGCATCCAGACATCCAGACATCATTTTTCACAGCAAAATGGAAGCGATAAAGTGATGTGAAACGTATGTGCCCCTTCCCTGCTTTCCTAGCTTTTTGCTTGTGTCACACTTTCATGTTTCAGATTATCAAACAAGTTTCAACACTGACATATTTACTGTGGTTATCTTTGTCTTATGTCTTATGTCTTTAAATGATGATTTCATTTTTTAAGAAGTGTGTGAAAAATTAAACACCCTCTAAACCCAACACCTGGTTGTGCCATTCTTGGCAGCAAGAACTGCAATCAGACATTTGCAATGGTTGCGAGAGAGTAATCTCCTGTTTGAGGTCACACTAAAGAATTCAACTGGATTTAAGTTTAGGCAATGACTAGGCCACTCCAAAACCTTCATTTATTTATTTATTTATTGAGTCATTCAGAGGTGGACCTGCTGGTGTGTTTCTGATGATTGTCCAGCCACCAGTTTATGTCCTGAAGCAAAACAATCTCCTTCAGGATTTTCTGGTAGAGAGCAGAATTAACGATTCCACCATTTACAACAATTCATCTATATCCTGAAGCAGCAAAGCACCTTCAGACCATCACACTACCACCAGCATGTTTGACTGTTGCTATAATCTTCTTTTTATGAATTGCTGAGTTACTTTTACGCCACATATAATGAGATTCAAACCTTCCAAAAGTTTCAGCTTTTGTTCCATCAGTCCGGAGAATATTTCCCCAAAAGTCTCATCTCACATTCCATCAAGCAAATGTGAGATGAAACTTTTCTCTTTGGAAAATACCTCAACAAAACAAAAAGCGCAAATCGTTGCTGACTAAAAAGAACACAAACTAAAGTTGAAGAGGCATGATAAATAACAAGAGAGATGCAACTCAAAACAAACTTGACTAGTTTAAAAGCAGCAGACGTGATTAACTTTATGAGGTGTGCTAGCGCTTTATCAGTGCGTCAGCAGCAGTTGGTTAAATGTCGGCTGTACAGGGTTGTGGAAAGCAAAATCTAAATAACATGGTGCTGGGAGTGCCTAGCCAGGGACAATGACCAGTTGCTAACTCTACCTACCAGGAAATTGCAAGACAACACAAATCTTATGACCATAAGTGAGGACTGGGATGTAGCTGGACTGGTAAAACAAAAGCTTTGCCTTTTTTACCACAACCCTCCAGTACAAGGCCCACATTCCTGCTGATGCTCCACCAATCTGCCAGTCATCCAGCATCACTCACCATCAATCCACAACATTTAAACTCCTTTGCTCGGGGTAGCCTCACCCCCACAACCTACAGGAGACAGAACACCATTTTCCAGCAGAGAACCAGAAATAGCCTCAGGCTTGAAGGTGCTGGCCTTCGAAACATTTCTGGTAAATGTCGCCCCCTAGTGGTGACTGTAAGTTTTACTTAGTTTGTGCAGAGGGTAAATACAACAAACATCTTTAAGATGTTCTTTTAAAATGAATAATTTAAATAAAATCTTTTGCTTTTTACTTTTTAAATTTATTTACTGAAAGTTATTTTCTCATCATCAGGTATTGATAAATGTGTGCAGTGGGCTGCTGAGGCAGGCGTGTGATTTTTATTTTTTTAATCATCATGATCATCATGAAAGAAAAAGGCAAAGAGTTACTTGGGTGTCCATCTTGTGGACTGATGAGGGATGTTGCACACAATCAATTTTTGATGCCGTTTCAGCGACTCCGTAATCCCTCTGCATACCCCCGGCAGGGGGCTCGTTGCCCTGTTGGGAATTCTTGCTGTGCAGGTCTGCAGGAGGTCAGAGTCTATTCCACCTAAAATTGGCTGATAGGAAGGATGTGTCAGTAGTCAATCTTGGAGGCAGCAGACTGCCACTGACAGACATTAACCACGTGTCACGTTTTATAAACTGCTGCAGTTTCCTCATCACGTGCCGCTCTGTGGGATTCGTGCTTGGAACAACTGCAGAGTGAACCTGACTTTTTCTGCCAAAGGAAGTTTTGAAGGTCAGAAGTTCTGAGCGATTTTTTTAAGGATATTTTCTGGGGTGTGATTTACTGAACTTTCTATTTCCTGATGTTTGATGGTAATAAAACCCTCAGACTCTGAGGTGGTTTGTTCTTATCATGAGAGTCATTACTTCTTATAGGCCTCAAAATGGAAAATCAGATCCTGGATTTTATGATCAGGTGAGGTCTTTACTTAATCTTTTGGCTTATAATAATTCCATTTCCATCTCTTTCCATCCTACCTGATGGGATGCTGCTGAACAGTCACTTTTAGGCTTTATTTTCTTCTTAGAAAAAGACTTGACACTTGGTCAAAGACTGACACCATCACTGATTCTCATATTGCCGCCTTCATTAGAGGTCCAAACCCCGTGTATGCTAGGACATGGGGCATATATGTGGACTCCATTTACATATAGGGGATTTTCACATGTCACCCTCCCTAGTCCTCCCTTGCCCCCCCCATGTAAGATTTTATAGATCCACTACTGGATTTAAGGAACCTCACCTAGACCATCCTGGAGCTGAGCCTGGGGAGGGGCCTGTTTGGGCCCACAGATGGAAAGCCTTGGGGGACTGTTGCTAGTTGGATTGAGCAGTGATTGAAGGCGGGTGACTAAAAGACTCCAAAACCTGAGAAGACTGTGGTCAGTCGAGGGTTTGTTTCTATTACCACTCTATTTCGACCGATCTGGGATTAAAAATAGTTTAACATAGTCACCTCTTAATCTTGAGATGGATACTTGAGCTTTACTCTAATAAGGAGTCACAAAGACGACAGCGGGGCTTAGAAACAAATTTGAGCCTTTATTGGAATGTTGCATTAAATACACAAATCCCATTCTTTTCATAATTTGGTATTTAATAATAAAAAAAAAAAAAGACTTCTAGTCTAACAATACTGATCTGACAGTCATCCTTATTCAGTTTCACTTCTCTTTCCTGGAAACCTGACGTGGTCTGTGTGTGAAGAATGAGAGGGCAGACAGCGAGGACGCGGGGAATAAAAGAACAACGCCTACTCGAATTCAGTAAATACTGCGTATCAAAGCTGCACCGAGGATTAAAACAGTCTCTCGCTGGCACTGATATTCGTAACATTATTTCAACCCCTGATTTCCCCAAGTTTTACATATAAAAACTTTAGTATGAAATATAAACAAGCTCTTCCCAGGATGCAAACAGACAGGCAGATGCTGAAGCTGAAAGAAAAAAGGACAAAAATATGTTCTAAGCGTGATCTCAGAGAGTCACCAGATCTCGCCTGGGCTCGCGTTTTATTCGCATAAATAATGTTCTGGTGTCAGGAAAATACCCTCCCACCAACATCCACCAACACCGTCATCATCATCGCCACTCAACAGATCCAGAAATTGTCTTAAAATCATTTTGGCTTACAGACTGTTTTCCCTCATTATGAAAAGAACAAAAAGAAAAGAAACAAGAAAACGGAAAAACATTCACAACACGTTTTCCAGCCCGTCTGTTTGGTCTGGGCTCTTTTTTTTTTTTCTTTCCTCCTTTTCCTGGATTCTTGCACACACCTCCACATGCCACCAAGCGCTGCCTAACATCACTGCCTCAGACCCACCCGCACCCCACCCCGCCCCACCCTCCTACTGCCAGCAAAACTCCAGAAAGTTAGGACATGACTCCGAACACGGGGTTGTGGCGGCAGATGCTCGGCCCGATCTCTTCGTAGTCCTTTTTGGTGTGGCACACCTGGTAGAACTCCGGCTGAGGAAACACAAAACAGGAGCTTGTCAACATTTAAAATACTGCAAACAATCAGCGGCCAAAGATCTGAAACAGGAGGCGTGGTGGAAAACTAAACAGTTATCGCTGAAAACATGGATGAAACACGGTGCTGAACTCATGTGAAACATCCAGTAGCACAAAAACACAAAAGCTTCCAAGATCTAAAAGTAGCTTATCGTGACAAAAGTATGAGATTTTGGGGGCTTATTTCTATAACAGGGAAGTACAGAGAGTTGACAGGAAATGACACGGTGACCTGCTCAACCAGGCGAGTTATGGTACCGTCCATTCTCCTTTAACTGAAAAACCATTAGCCAACTCTATGGATGATCTTCGCAGACTGTAATAAATGACCATACTACTACTACTACTACTACTACTACTACTATTACATCTGCTGGAGCAAACATTTCCTAAATTTGGGATGAATAAAACTGTATTTTTATTCTCTTACACAACTGGAAATCTTTATGCAAACAGAAGTGTCGCCCCCTGCTGGTCATTATAAAGAATGCTGTTGTAATAACAATATAGCAGACGTGTAATAAATACACAGAGGCTGATGGAGGACTTTACTATGTTTGGCAGAAAGATTCAAACTTTTCAGGGAGAGATCAGAGTGCAAATTATTTTAAAGTTCAAAACTCAGGTTTCACTTTACAAACCTGAAAAGTACTTCCATCTTTTACATACAGTCTGTGGCTTTATCTTAGTTTAGTTTTTCTTTAATTAACTGTTTGAGGTTTGAACTGTACGTGTGCTGGAGTGGGTTTGAATTGGAGTGTATTTATTAAAAGCACGACTCCTTTGTGATGTTTGATTGATTGACTGATCGATATATTGGTTCTAAATTTAGACCAAACCGCGGGGGTAAACAGGGGTCGAGGTACAAACTCAAGATGTTTGCGATTATCCGACAAAACTTTCTGTGAATCCTGAGACATGAAAAGGATTGTTATTCTTATCGGATTATTCGATTTTTAACATCAATTAGCCTTTGGTGAATCAGCTGTCAGACCTCCGCTCCCACTCTCGTTTCCTGCTGATAAAATTATCCGCCTCACTCACACAAATAACTCATCAAGAGACAGGGGAGGAAAAAGAATAATGAAATGTCACAACCACCCACAGCACTCACTTCCACTCAGAGGGACTAAAAGAAACGACACAATAAATGAGGGCTTAACTAAAGTGCGTGTGGCCTTAAATGCCACACGGGAGCAAAGCCGACATGCGGGTGAATCTAAAAGCAGATTTCCTTCTCCTGCAATAAAGTTTAACCACATGATGATGATGATGATGATGATGATGATAACATGAGAAATACTTACAGTTGATGCTAACATTGATCCACCAAACCACACTGCGTATCTCTGCATGTGATGAGTGATGACCTGGACATCGATCGGTTTGGGCTGCGGAGGAAACACAGAGGAAAGATTATTTCAGAAGCTGAGAGAGCTACAGAGTGAATGCAGCCAGGGGAGGACTCTGTAGTAGTGACATTACAAGAATTAGTCACTTTGATCACCACAGATTATATTTGAAACCGTGCAACCGTGCACGAACCCTGACTGACAGTTTCTCAATGTTTTCAAAATCTAAATCAGTGTTTAAGACTTTGTTTTTGGAGCTTAATAAACCAAAGAAAGTGCCGCCTTATATTCAGACCTTTATGAATTAGCCAAAGTTACTAGTACTTAAAAGTTACTATACTTAAAAGTAACTGATGCTTTACTTGTGAATATTTTCACATTTACTGGGCTTTTCTGAGCAGAACAGGAATCCATCAATAACATACGGGTGTGGTTTCTACGGTGCGTCCACCACTAATCAACCCATGTAACAAATAAACCAGGTGATGACAACATCTACATACAACCTGTGATTGCTGGTGCTCCTTAGTGTGTCAACTATATCTTAATATAAATAAATGTGGGATAATGACATGGAGCAAGTGACATCAAACTGAAACAACTTCACAAAATCAAGGCCAAGAAGATCCTATCCTGTTTTCCTTGAATGTAATTGTAATTCCACCTTTTAATGACAAATAGCTGTGAGGGTTCACAGGAGAGGAGAAGAACAGAGTCCAGCTGAGGCGGGGTGGATGGAGAAGAGAGTCAGGAGTACCTTGTCACAGATGAGTAAAAGGAAGAGTTTGCTGATCTGATATCTCTCTAATCCTGACTCACAAAGCCTGATCCCACCAGCTGTCCAGGACGGTGCAAAATTATACTTAACAAGTTTGCAACCGTGTGGCCTGGAAGGGTTTCAGTGTAAAGACGTTAAAATTAGGGACGGATCGCTCTGATATCAGCACATTTATTCACTTAAGTGTAGACTGTGGTCACGTGAGCTGGCATGACTGAAAAACTCCATTTCCAATAGTTATTGGAAAGCTTTTAGTACAGTAAGAGAAACCTGAATCAACAGTTAGGAGGTTGGTATTACTTAAAACTTAAAAGTTTATCTGCATGTGATTTAAATAAGTGTTTCAAGAAGATTCTGGACATTTCTGCTAAACCTGAACCTGCTCCTGCTCTACTTACACACACCGAGGAGATTTATTCTGAGGTTCAGAACATTCTGGTCCGCCTTAAATTAGCTGCAGTCGCTGCTTGCTGCTCCTCTACCGTCTGAGGTAGATTTACAGCTGCAGGTCCGCTCGTAACGAATCACCTTTATGACCTGAGCATCTATGGAGCTATAAAAAACTGTGCCCTGCATACCTGAGCCTGAAATATTTCAAATCTTTTTAAGCCTCATTAGATTTTTATAGGGAGAAATTTGCTGTTGAAATCAGTTCATCTACTTTCAATAAACCTGTGTGCCGTTTTGTAATTCAGCTGATTGAGAACTATCGATCCGTGCCCAGTGTAAATTCATTTTTTCTGCTCACCTTGAGCTTGCCTCCGCTCAGCTCCTCACTCATCTTCAGGCGGGCATCGACCGTCCTCTTCAAGTCTCTCTGCAGACGGCGCCCAAAGTCCCTGAACATGGTGGAGCCTCCCGACAGGACGACGTTCTGTGGAAGAAAAAGGACGCCGCTATTACAGAGCTACGAAAAATCACACAAACGCTTAACACCAGTGACCTGCAGCCGACCAGCGGCCTGTATGACTCTTACAAACTAAACTCAAAATGCATTAAAAACCCAACAAATGATCACGTCACATGATTTTGTTTTAATAAAAGCTTTAAAAAAAAAGAAAAAAAACATTTCAAGACTTGTGGTTCTTACTTTTTCACTCCTGTCTCTTTCAAACTAAACAAACATTCCCATGAGACCCTTAAAAAGACTGAGTAATACTGGCTTTCTAAGAGATATACCTGTACTCATGCCAATGTTGATATTTAAAGATTAAACATGGATATGGTGTTAATGAAGACGATGATCCTATAAACAGTTGCGTAACTGAACTTTTTGGAAACTCTCCACCTTAATTTACGTCATTTTGGAGCGATTTACCAAAAAGAAAACACACACATGCTGAACAAAGATGATTTTTACTAATAAAAAATAAACATTAATCACACTGTTGCTCAATTTTCTATAAATATACAAGAAACTATTTATTGGATAATTTTTTGGCTATGATAAAATGGAGTGAAAATGTAATGTGACAGCTGTGAGTCTGCTAAAGCTGTGCCGTGCTCCTGTTACCTCGATAGTTTGGTGCCAAATGGTCGTGTTAAGTCTGTCTTTTTCCCACTATGGGGTTGGGATAATATCAAACATGTTTTATTCCATGGGCTCATGAAAACAGTCGAGCTCAGCATGGTGAACACCATCTGTTCTGTCAGCCAGTGTCATGTCCACCTGTTGTAATCTTTTTATTTTGACCTGTTTTTTTTGTTGTTGTTGTTGTTGTTGTTTTTTACCTGAACAATCCATCAAATGCACAAACAGGAGCGTGTGCTTCAGTTCTCCCCCCAACAGCAGCATGATGTGAATAAGTCTTACAAAAATGCAGATTTTTTCACTCTTTGAGATGTTTGGTCTTCATGCGTGTCAGCTCACCTTATAGAGAGGACGCCTGACATCGATGGGGCAGTTCTGGATGACCTCGTCCACCACCTCGGAGATGGGCTGGGTGAAGTCCGGGTTGGCAAACTAGGAGGAAGAAACAAGGTCGACATGTCATCGGGTGCAGCGTGGAGGTAGATACTAAATGTAGCCATCAAACAGCAAAGTATAAAACAAAGATGTGCAGTTAATTACCACGGGTGGTTCACTGAGGTAACAGCAGAGCTGCCTAATCAGCATTTATGAGCAGCAAAAAACATTCACAAGCCGCCCTAATGCAGCCATAACAAAATATCAGAGCTTTGTGCATGCCTAATAATGTCGTGGGACTGGGGGCGTGTGTTCATTTGTTTAATTTTTGGGCTCTTTAATAGTTTATCCAGCAGAACAGCTCAGACTTGTTTCTTTACAGTCTTGCAAGTTTGCAGCAGAGCAGCATAACAGCAGGACACACACTGGTTTCCCCACAGCTTTGTGTGTCAAACTAGCTGCTTACTAACTTGCAAAGTAAAGTAAACAAACTCACAAATTCCCTTTCTTTAATTTAACATCTAACTTCAATTTTGTCTTTAAGTGCATGTGTAAACAATCCTGATAAACTCCTATATTGACACCACAATTTCCCACATGTCTCAGCACCCAATTGCGACAAACAGCAGGTCAAATTTGCGTTTCATGATTTGCACGGCACAGACAGACCTCTGGGTGGAAGAAGATCTCGGGTCCCAGGAAGCGCTCGTAGCCCACGTCGATGGTGAACTCCTTCTTGCTAATTGCGTTGATGCCGGTGTACTGCTTGATCCACTTGGAGCCGTCCGTGTCGTACTTCTGGAACTCTTTGACTAGATCCGGGCACACGTAGCTGAACCGCTCCTGGTGGTCAGAGCAACAGGAAAAAGTTGTGTTATATCAAGTCACAGAAAGCAGAATCTGCCAACTTAATCATCGCGGCTCTATTTGTGTCACAGCTTCTATTATCATGGGTTGTAATGCCGGAGTGATAGGAACATTAGGCACTGACACATTTGAATCGTGCACCACTAACAGCGCCCCATACTCATTATTTTGATTTGCAGGGACTGGGGTACACGGTGCCAGCACACCAGGAGGCACCGGAATTAACATTTCCAGACACGATAGGCAATATGCACGACAGACAGTGCTAATGTTAATTATTTCAGTTCACTTCATTTCTTGTTTTCTGTTTCGGGGTAATGAAGAATGGCCCCTGACATCCAGAACAAAGTCCTGGATAACAAGCTGTTTAATAAACATGGAGGAAACATGGAGAAATGGGGCAAATCAAGAAAATATAGTGACTGACAGAGGGAGGAAAAATAAAAGAAAGAGCATTAACATAAAAGTCACGTCAGTCCGTGACCAGGAAAGTTGGAAAATTAATTGGAGGAAAAAATAATGAATTCTTGAGACACGAATTTAGCTGCAAAAAACAGAAAATATTGAAGTGTGCCGTCTGTGTCCCACAAGGAATCGTCTCAGGCTGAGTTTCAGGGAAACTGTGTGTGAAGGAGGCCTGCTGCCTGAGACAGACTGATGGCGCCACCTGCTGTCGCTGTGACATAAATGCAGTGCAGTCCCACTTTGGTCCCTGATTTTAAAAAATAATTCAGCGGAGTCCGGTGCTGTCACTGCAGCAAACGGAGCTCGAGTGCCCCGGCTCTTTTTCAGCTGAAGCATTTTAATCTAAAGAGTGAAATTAGTCTCATACTGTTGTTTTTTTTTTTTTAAACAGCGTTCAGCTTCTGTTGTGCACAGAAACAGAAAATTCGGGCTATACAGATATAACACTGCCGATCCTTTTACACTAAAACACAATATTGCATTTGAATGCTGCAGTTTGTCTTTGTTGTAGCTATTCAGCAGTATGACAATGATATTTTAATGACTGTCAGTAGAACATTCTTCAATAACATTATCACCACACTGAGCGTGTTGTTATGTGTGAGAGCAAAGAGAGAGCGAGGGGATGCTTTCAGCCTCTACAGCCACAGGAGACCAACATGCATGCCACTGCTGACACATTGAATAACTATAATAACAGCCTCCCCCGCAGAGGCGGCGGTGGGAGCTGGAGCTGTACCTTCACTGCCTTGGCCGTCTCCAGCGACTGCTCCGGCGGGATGCCGATCTCTCTCTCCCTCAGGAGCTGCTGGGTGAAGTAGGTGATGTCTCGCCCTGCGATGGGAATGTGCTTTATACAGCTGCCAATTACATAACCTTCAGCCTAAGAGAAAGAGACAGGTGGAGAAAGAAAGACAGAGGATGTCATACAAACTGCAACCAAATAGAGATTCCAGCGGCTAAAGCTGGATGTGTTTTTCCATCACATCTGCGAGGCCCCACAGAGACGTGAGCATGCTCAGCAGACTCGCTGATTCAGCCTCAGAACGAATTCTGCAAGCACATTTCCTCAAACTGAGTAATTTCTTCCAGCCTCCGAGACACTCTGCCCTACTTTTTAAAATCGGCACTATCCGGTTACTCAGCAAAATGGAAAAATATATAAACACTGCACACGGTCTATAAGACTTCAAAGAAACATACACTGCTGCTCTGCATCACAGGTAAATGAAAGCCATCTGTTTTTATTAACAGTTACAAATGACCATAATGAAAACAGCAATCAATTAAAACGCTGTAGAAATAATTGATTAAAATTAGCACAGGAGCATTTTTTAATGAACAAAAACAGTGTACTTGCTTCCTGTACACATGACATTAAACTCCATTTAACTCCTAAAGCACACACTAGAAAACATTTGGTTTGGTTAGTCATTGAACCAGGAAGTAGATGCATGTGAGTGGTTAGTTTCTCCAAAGGTTTAAAAACACATTTACGAAACTGTTTGCTTTTTTAAGATATCAGATTAAATTCTGGACTTTTGTTTTCTGATTTATATTAGAAACTCGACATCTCACGTCTCATATACACATCAAGATGGATCGTTTCAATAAAAGAGGTTCTGCAATAAGGTAGTAGTGCACACAGAAGGCAGAAAGGGGAAAAAACAGTTAAGGAGTCTGGTGAAAAGGGGAAAACAGGGAAAAGCTACGAGGAAATGCAAAAAAATATGTTTAATTTTCACATAAACAGTAAATTACAGAACAAAAAAATGATAAAAGGTACATTTATAAGAAAAGAGCAGAGCTTTCAGGCACGACTTCAGTAATGAAAGCCACATGTCGAAACACACCAATCATATAAACTCTGTCTATAAACAAAAGTGTTGCTGGTTCTTCGTGCACATTGGAAGTTATACTAGAACTCTGCTCTGTTCCCATTTTACCTTCACTGAGCAAAAAAGAAACACCAGACCCTCCACTGCTCGATTTATAAATGTTTTTTAAATGATTGTCTTTACTTCAAATGAACTGAGGTGGGTAAACAGATCAGAAATGACGCGTCTCATTTCTGAATCAGAAATGTTTTAATTTTAAACTTTCAAACCATCACTTTCATTTCATGTTTCACAAAACATTTCTCGGTTGTCTTGTCGATGCTTCCCCTCTGAAACTTTCTATTTTCTTCTAATGAACAGAAAACAAAAATAAGTGCAGCTCAGGGATGAGTGTCCTTCAATGGCGTGATCTGTATACTCACCACAGGGATGACGTGGGTGACGCCGTCTCCGCTGTCGATGACGGTACCCGTCAGCGTCCTCTCCCCGACCTGTCTGGATGTCCAGGAGGCAGCTAGAGCGAGCACAGCCTGTCGCGCACACATACACACGGGAACGTCACACACTTCACAGTATGTTCACACTTCAGCAGTGCTAGTGATCGTGACACACTGCTGTGAACTAAACATGGTCACATGATCACATGATATGAAAAGTTATTCAAAACAGACATGCTATAACTGAACCTTTCAAATTCCTCCATATACAATCATATTCTGTTCACATACGGAGGCTCGTTTGTGTCTTTATAATAGAACATACAAAACAAACGCTACATTAAAAGTATTTTAAGTAAAATACATTTCAGAATCTCAAGTTTTGCTTTATGTTGAACTGAATCTCACACTGAGATATCAGTATCAGTATGGGCGCGTCACACAGGAACAGATACCTGCTAATTAGTGCAAATAAAACTCCAGAACTTCACTCAGTAATCTGAAGCACAGACTTTTTATACGGTCTGTTAGTACAATTAACCCCACAGCGGCCTTTTTGTTGATGAATAACATCATTAAAAATGTTCCAAAATGGTTCCAACAGCACACAGAGGCCAACTAGCTGACAGCTACCAGCTAGAGCCACCTGCCCTATAAAGTTTCCAGGACCCTATTATTGCAAACTTTACACTCCTATATAAAGTTACCCCCTGTGCAGTTGAATTAATTCTAGTCTTCACTGCAAAATAAAGACACAAACATGCCTCCACAGTTAAACAAACAAACTAGAGCTCTAGGGTAAGGGAGCCTGACCTGCACAGCGATGTAGAGCCCCGGTACGTTGAAGGACTCGAACATGATCTCGGCAGTGTACTCTCGGTTTTCTGGTGTGTTCAGTGGAGGCTCCGTCTGCAAACACAGGATGTGGTACAGTTAGACTCAAGTCTGGACCTTAACAGTAAAACTCTGCAGATCAAAAACACTAACACAGATCTACAAATACTCAAACATATTCACGGCAGAGCATTAAATTCATTTATCTTTATCTTTCTAAGAAGTGACTGTTGCAGTTAAACTGAATGTTTAACATCACTGGAGAGGCCCTGTGTTTAAGACTCTTACCAACAGGAAGTAGTGGTCCTCAGGTTCGGCCCTCAGGTACTTAAAGATGATCTGCTCCATGAAGCGCTCCATTAGATCCCAGTCCTCCACAATGCCGTGACGGATGGGCCACTGTTGCAACAAAGCTCAGTTTAATGAGTGACATTAGTGACTTTACAGAAACCTATTCTGGGAAGCTAAAGATGGCAGCTCTCCTTCCTCAGCCTCCAAACACTCAACAGCTGAACCCTCAGCAAAGTCACAGACCATCCACTAAATTTAGATACTCCTACAGTCTCATCTATCCCACTTTTTAGCTCTGGGAGTCCAGCTCAGCCTGCAGTTCTCACAAATTAAAAATAGAAGGGAGCGCTGCCTGAGTCTGCCTCTTCACAAGCTGTTAGTCTGTCTTGGGTACAGAGAAACATCTACACGATGCACCCCAAAACCAAGTAGCCCAGCTTGAGCCTTGATAAAATATCCAATCTCTCCTTGTTTAGATGAAATTCACATCGACCGGGATTCTCTGTATTCCTCTAAAGGTCTCGTACCTTAGTGGAATACGTGGGTTTGTCTATGGCTTCATCTCCGATGTAGAAGTCCAAATCATCCACCCCCTTCATCATCCTACGCTGGGCCTGGTCCCCGACCTTGGCCGACTCTTTGATGGCGATACCTGACGAGAAAAGAGAGAATTAAACAGAGAAAGAAAATAAACTGATAAAATCTGGTGTATTTTATGACTAAAGACATTAGAAAAGTGGAATAATGTCAAACATTTGCAGAGGCCCGTTGGCGGAATTGGTTTAAATACGTAGGATGCAAAATACTCACATGATGGAATGATGAACTGTGGCTCTGTGTTCCCTGCATACCCCAGTTTGGTGTAACTGCAACAGACAACAATCAGTTTCACTACAGGGAAACAGGCTGCACGTCATGGACATCGAGTCTGTTGGAACTGCATTTGTATGCGAGGCCTTTTCCTTCAGTAAAGATTATTTCTGGCCCTATCGTTTTGATCAATGGCGTCACTGTCCCTCAGGCGCACTGGGTGGGTGCCAAAAGCAGCAGCGACTCTGGGGATTGCTAATGGGAGCCCCCTGAAAGAGCCATTCATGCTGTATTGGTCAACTATGTTCGTCTATGTTTGTCAAGGAAATCAAGCGTCTTTCATATAACTTGGGCAGCTGACAATAAAAGTGATTTGATTTGATTTGCATTTGCAGCGTTGCTGCAGTACAAGAGAATCTGTAAGCATGATAAATGACTTAAGATGTTTAAGATTTAAGAATGGCTGATCCTGAGAGAGCACACCTTCAGATTTAACATCAAAGAACTGAGTTTACAATCGTCTCTCCTCTGTTTGAACAATGTTTCGCAGGCACATGTGAACCAGATGTGATCCCGGCTCAGGGCTCCTGTACTTCCTGCACACAAGGCCCGAGGGACCGATAGAGGACCCTGCTGACGAATGCCAGAGCACCGCGGGCAAAACAAACCACATCCTGGTCACAACAGTGGCTGCTTTGAATTCATCTTTGCAAAACGAGGAGCCGGAAGGACATCAGCAGTATCTCAAAGACGCTGAAGTTATGGCACAACAAATGTGCTAAAAATACGACTCAAATACCAACTTTAAAGATAAGATTCATATGAGGCTGCTCGCTTTTGATCTTCTTCATAAGAAATCAGGAACAAATATTATTAAAATATAAAAAATATTTAAATGTAAATAAACATTTAACTAAATGCTAATCAGATGATACCCACCTATATTTACCTACGAGACCAGTTTACATTAATAAATTAGTTAAACTACAGGCACCTTTTACAGACATAATGGCCTAATTTTCTACTTCTAAACACCATTGCTAATCATACTGACTCTGGATGGCATGACCTTGGAATCCAGCAATACTGTGAGGAATCTTTTAGTCATTTTGGACCAGTATATGTTCTTCAATGTGTAGATTAATTAAAAATGTAGGACTGCTTTCTTTCATTTGATGATTATTGTTAGAAAAATTAGAAACATCCCCGTCTCAGAGTGATGTTGAAAAATTAGTTTATGTACTTTTTACTTCTAGACTGGAATTCATTCATTCAAACTCTTAAAGACCTCACAGTACCTTATTATCGTAACAGAGCATTTCTCTCTCAGACTGCTGTCTTACTTCTACAGTTTCCAAAAGTAAAATGGGAACTTGCTAAAACAGCCTGAAGCTTATGGCTGCCCCTCTCTGAGCCTGGTTCTATCTGAGGTTTTGTGCTCTTCGTGAAGTTCATCCTCCCCACAGTCACCAGAAGCTACTCACAGCCGATCATCTGATTGTACCGTCTATACCTTACAATATAAAACACCTTTAAGCAACTGTTGTTCTGAACTATGGCTATAAAAATAAAAATTGAACTGTGAACAAAATATGTTCAATGATGTCATCACTTCTCCTCCCATATTTTCTCAATTTTTTCACCTACAGATGAATTCATTAGATTTGTTTGACCTCAAGCTGCTGTAATATTTCACTGAAACTCCTTAAAATGAGACGATGAACCTGAGGAGATTTATCCAGGAACAAACATCTATTTAGAATATTTACCCTGTAAGACAGTTATGATGGCTTTTGAGTTTCCTTTCCAATCACAGGTTTCTTTTTCCTGCACAGCACCTTCTGATGCACAGGAAACGCTGCAGTTTGTGTAGAGTAAATACAGACAGGAAGCAGAGATGTACGATTAAGAAGAAACCGGCTGGGATGGTGAACATAGAAATTAAAAAAAAAAAAACGGTTTTTTTTTTTAAAAACCCGCTTTTAACCGCTTGTTTTGTCTGATCTCATTGCCAAAGCCTGTGAGAAAACATCAGCTTTTACATAAAAATAACTAAATCGTCCTGATAACTTGTGAAAAATGTGCAAGAAAAATGTAAAAAATAAAAATCCCCATTAGAAAGCCCACATGTTCTGCAGATCTACGCATGTCTGTGTAGCTGGGAGACAAAAAGGGAAACTCTGCTTCACAGCTAGGCAGATGTGCTCCACCATCTGATTTATGTTTCTGGGGTCAAATAAAGTTAAAGTCCTCTGACAGCAAGAGGTACGAGCTGACAGGCAAGAGTGAAAACACCACCCAGTTCTCTCTTTTCCGCTTCAGCTCAACAACTTTTGGTTATACGGTAAAATCTTATCTGGCATCTTCACACTTTATCTGTACAGCACATTGAAATATTAACAGAGCTCTGGCCAGCACAGATTTTTATTTGTTTTAAGGTGCAGCCAGAAAAAACAGCACAGCAGAAACTCGGAGGGAAACCCACCAAACCTGTGCTCCTGGAGCCTGGAGACCTACTGTATGATGTCACCATGTCTGCCGTGTCTCTTTTTACTGAATTGTCAGGTGAGACTCAGCAGACTCAATATTTTTACTTAACATGAGCTCAGATTTTTGTACTTTAGACACTCACAGCGACAAACTGAGGCAGAGTTATTAAGAGACCATGCAGCTTATCGCATGAATTTTGGTTTAGTCAAAGTTATTTTAAGCCACACAGAACAGATAACTACACCCACCAGCCACAGCATTAAAACCACAGCCTGAAACTGCGGGCTGCTTTGCAGACAGCTTCACCTGCACCAACAGCACACAAAGCTAGCAACAAGTTTCTTGGCTGGTGGAGCCCAAACAGAGAAGAAGTGTGAACAGGCGCGGTGAACGCACAGTTTCTTTCTTCGTGATGAAATGTAAGTGTGGTGCTTTCAGTTTGTTTTACATCCTAAATGGCTCCTTTCACAAAAAAAACAAAATAAAAAAAAAACAAAAAAAAAACATAACAATGAATGAAAATTTCAAAATATATTTTTTGCCTTTATTGCATTGTGAAAGTTTATCTCAAAGTCAAAAACAGTGACGTGAGTCTGTGGGAAATCACCTCATGTGAGCTATGACCTCAGTGAATTTGAATCTATAAATAGGATGTTTGTGTTGTAAATTAGAATCATCAGGGTCACAAAGGATGATAAAGCAGGATTTGATTTACCGTGTCGTTGTGAGTGAGCAGCATCCCTCTGGACCTCAGTCAGGCCAAGAAGGAGCAGCAGAAACGCTCATGGAAAGCACTGCTGACATATGAGTGACTGTGAATCAGGCAGCAATGTATCCCATAGCTGCTATGACATCACCCACTGACAACCCGTTACGCAAACTTGAGCTAAGCAGTTTCGTCGTCACCATCTTGGTGTTTTAACATTGAACATGACGTCACAACAGTCACTAGTCAGGCAAGTGTTTACAGAGGTCTTCAGACTTTTCTAGGACTGGAAGTCCTTTTGCAAACACATTTCTCGCCCCCTAGTGGCCATTAAAAAGTGATCGTTTAAGATACCTGGAAGCTAGGTTCATCTTTTCCAGAGTGTATGCTTCAGACAGCGAGAGGAGAAGGCAAATGGTCTTCAGCAATGCAGTAAATTTGAATATCATTCATTACTTTTTGTGTGCTTACAGTGATAATATTTAACTGACACAAAATCCCAAGGGTCGCCATTTGGAAAGCACTGGAGCTGTTTGTCTCTGAGGAAACCTTAAAGATTTATGCTGCTTGATTAAGGAAAAGAGTGAGCTGACAAAAGTTGCCATAAAAAATGTTGTGCAACTTAATTTCCTTCATCAGTGCGTAATTAGTCACATTCATGTTGTTAAAGTCACAGCTACAGAGTTATTAATGATGATGATCTGACACATGCTACAAGTGATGGCTTCAAACTTTGAATGGTAAACAGACTCTGTTAATACTGCATTTCTCTAGTTTTTCAAGCACTCAAAGCACTTTATGATACGAGTAACACTCACACAAACATTATTCTGCGACACAAAGAGCTGTTTAAAACTAAAAGTGTGTGAATAAACACTAGAAAACTAAACTTCTGAGAAAAATGAGAACCAATAAAACCACTAACCTGATCCACCTCCTAAACCTCAACTTCCCATTTATTTAAAGAAAATAAACTTTCAAAATTTCATCACAAAAATGACCACGTTTCAGGGTTTTATTGCCTTGGACACAGCTAAAAATGAAAAACCCTGTGCTGGCAATCGTAAAAACAAACAGCTGTATCACATGTGTAACAACAACAGTCCTCTGAAAACCTTCATTCCACAGAGCCGTCCTAGCTTGCCTACTTTGACCTGCCCGGACACGCTTTTAAATTAAAAAAAAGAAGAAGAAAAAAGCACGTCACCCAGCACGACAGCGGACACATCGTTGCACAGGACAACACGAGCTGCAGGTTTTATGCTGCCTTTAGCTAAATTATCCTTTATTTTTATTGGAAAACACAGTTTTTAAGTCCAGCATGAGCTTTATTTATGACACCGCTGAACTCATGTCAGGAGACCCCCACAGGTTGCTTCAGACAGAAGACTCCACCCAAACTTCAGCTGCAACACCTGCGATTGTTTTTTTTAAGGAAGCTTTGGTGTCCAAAAAAACCAAAAAACAAGTATGACTGTGACTGAGCTTCTTTCACTCTAATCTGATAATATCATCTTGGCCACTCAGAGGCCTGATGATGTGTAAAAGGATGTGAAGCGGTCACTGTATTAGTCAGAGGCAGCTGCTGAGCCCCATCAGAGCTGTAAAACATCTGCCCACAGCTGGCACTGTGTGCCTCCGCTGCAAAGTTTCTACTTGGAAAAATAGAAAACTCTTCTTTCTTCTGGTCAGAGGTTTGCATGGGTATAAAAGTGGAACGTGAGGGTTATTATGAAGCAGTCTGCTCGCTGAGGAGAAATTAGCTCACAGATTTCGCTGCAGTAGATTGGTTAACAACCTGAGGGGATAGGCAGGCTGCTGATACGAGCTGTATACACTGTGACGAGTTCAAGCCTCCACATGCAAGCAATGCATGGCACGTTTAGCCCAGATTAACAGAGCAAGCACACCTATCACACCGGCAGCACCTTTTAGCCAGGGCTGCAGGTAGTTAGGATAAAAAACACCTCCCTCTGTTTGTTACTGTTCACGTTCTTGCAGCGTTTGAGCCTCTGAAAATGGCTGCACAGTCAATTTTAATATTTCAAACAAGCAATTACATAAAGCTGCACTCCTATCACGACTCAGTTGGTGCATTTTGAATGCACTGCACTGCCCACCAAAGATCTTTTAACCTTTCACCAGTTTGTAATCATTTTCTTTTCACATTTAGATTCATTTTGTTCATCAAATGACCAGAAACATTAGATCAACTGTTCTTGTGTGTATAATCACACACACAAGATGCTTCCAAGAACCAAAACCTTCACCTCAGAAAACCATCCTAATTTCTTTTTTTATTTTCCCCCCTAAACACTTTTGTGTATTTTTTCTATCACCTTTAACTGTAAACCTGCAGCATGTCCTAAACAGGAATATTAAAGAACATCTGCCATTAAATGCATCATGCAGCATTTATGAAGCAGCATTATGGAAATGATGTCAGCTGTAATGTTGTAAAAATGTTTTTAGGGCACAAAAAAAGCAAAGGTTTAAAAATATAATTCACAGAAAGACTTTTTAACGCCTTCCTTCCTCATTCATAAAAAAGAAAACAGTCCTGCTCATCTTTACAACTCATCGCGTGGTTCAATCATTAAAAACAATCCTTTCATTTATAGTTTTTGCAGCGTGTGAAAGGGGCAGCAGTTCCAAGGGAGTTCATGCAATAATTTCTTCAGATTTGTAGAACTTTCAGCACATCCTGACTGCTTCATTTCACATGAACTGGAGTGGCAACAGTAACAACGTTTTTAATAAAAACTTTCTCCAAAGTGTCCTTTCAGGGTGGCCATGCACATGAGTATGACTTCAGCTTGAGTAAAAAGGCTACATTTTTCTCACAGTCTTGGTGATTTTCCTTCTGTGAACAGCCAGCATTTATTTGGTGGATGTCAACATTTTTTAAAGCAGGAAAAAACCCTGAAGTTGTTTTACTGTCCAAATACTTATGGACTGACCTCATTTCCCCCCCAAAGTCCCCAAAAGGGAACAGTACAGCTGAACAATATCTTTCAGAATCATCCCTTTCCAAAACTTCAGCTAATTGTTAACATTTTATTTTATTTCCAATTACCTATGAGCCTGGAAAATGACAAAACATTCTCATATCCCACAAGACTAAAATAAATTTGACCATGTTTCAATACTGACTCTAACTCTTTCCTTCCTCCTTCATAGAAAAGGAAACAGCATTTTTCAAATGTCATGCATGGTTTAATGCATCATCTAACAGAAAGTCTGCACCCAAAATTAGGCTGTTGACACCTAACACAGCATTTCCATTAAAACCACCATACAAAATCATTTCCATCATGGCAGCGTTGAGCTACAAATTCACAAAAAAAACTGTGTCGCTGTCCAAATATTTATAGACATGGCTGTAATACTTAGATAGCATGTGAGAAAAATCTGTTAGCTTCAACCAAATTAAAAAATAAATAAATAAATCAGAGAGTGATTGCAGGATAGGGGAGAAAGGTGTGTTTTGTTCTGTTGTAGCTAGTTATTGTGTAAAGTAAAAATGACAGTGATTTGGTGGTGATTAAAATACGTTCAGAATTTGCAAATTAATGATTCATCTCATAATGGATGACAGACTGCTCTCCTCTACATAACCTGGCTTTATAAGTTAAAAGTATCGGCATTAATATTTGCAAAGCTAGCCCTGTATTTGCTTTATGGGATTGATACCAAAATTCCAAGAGCATTGCACAGCAGTACTCTGATCAATGCAAGGAGCTGCAGGAGGAGCTCAGATTGTCTTTCTCTGTTTTTTTCCCTCTGTCCTCTAACACAACATCCGATGCCAAAGTTTTAGATGTTTTTATCTGCGAGATCAAGTCGTTATGAGAAGAATTGTCGGACCGGTAAAAGAGGCGAAATTAGAGAAGTTAATAAAAAAAAAACCACGCTCGGATGCCGAGAGACGACCATATATGGACTAAAAAACGTGAATGAGGAAGTGTAGGCTGTGTAGGAAGTAGTACCGCGCATGCTCAATCCCAAATTAGTGAGCAAAGAGATTTATGAATTACACTCGTTTTTACAATCTTTTTTTTTTTAAAGTGGGAGCAAACACAAGCAAAGAAAATTTTATCTTATTAGCATCAGATATTATCATGAGAGCGGAGGTGCAGATTTTCCAGCTCCAGATGAATGAGGGGAACCCTTCCTGCCTCAGGTCTGCACCAGAAAACACCACCTGAGCGGCAGGAAGGAGAACCAGAACAGGAAGGCGTTTAAACTAACCCTGAAGCTCCCGATAATAAGCAGTAATAAGTCGCTGTTAGCATGTTCGCTCGCTGCCCAGCTGTAAGTGTACACAGACACACACCCATGGCTGCTGCCCCTGCTGACACTGACAGCCCCCTCAGCCCCCGTGCTGCCCGTCTGCCTGCACGGCGGTCCGGACTAAACAGCTTACCCTGTGCCGCAGTCGACAACACACGCCGGTAACCGTCCAGCCATCTCTGCCCCCCGGGTCTCTGGCGCGCTACGAAACCGTTAAGATATGATGGAAAGCTGGCTGTGTCGGCTGGAGGATCTGGCTGGCCGTCCACAGGCGGAACCCTAAGCCCCGCACACTGCCGTTTTCCACTTCCGCACTCGGCTTCTGGCAGGCAGGGAGAGGCAAGATGGCGGAGGCCGGGCAGAGCGACGCAGGCAGGGACGCGGAGCTGTCAATCACCGAGATAGGGCGGGGCCACAGTGTGGCGGACCAAAAGTGCCAAAATCAATCAAAAAAAATAAAATAAAATAAATGAATTATGTTTAAGGGAATTTTAAAAATAAAATTGCGAGTAACAAATGAAAACTAATATTTCTATGAACCTAAAATTTACTTAGTTAAAAAAGGTAAAGTTAACTTCTTTTAAGGTTTTATACATATAAATATATATAGCCAGGTTTGAAAAAGAACTGAGATTAAAGTTGCAAAAAAGCTATAAAAATCTCAAAATTAAAAGAGAAAACAAAAAACTTTTTTTCCTCATCAATAAAAGAATATTTACTGCATCAGTTTGTCTTCATTTTATCTGAAACACACAAGGATCAAATCTCTGACTTTATTTTGGGGATATTGTCCTTAAATATAACTAAAGCTTTCACACAGGAGTCATAAATGATATGAAATAGAAATAAATACCTTGGACTGAAATGTCATATTTGATTCCACCACTGAGCTTTCTTTTTTCCAAAATAGTGTGTATATAGTAAAATATCAATAATGCCACTCCTGTTACGTTTGTACCATCAAACTGAAATGAGACTAGTGTCAGCAGCTACACTAGCAAACTGTTTTACTAGCTAAACTTAGCATCATTGTTGTCTATGGGACTCAGTTCACAGTACATGATTGCCTTTAAGTGTTGCTCCACAGCTTATAAATAAAGTGTTGTTATCACATTCATAAGTGTCTCCGTCTGCATTTGCGTCCGTTTTCCTGATTCGGCCGTGACAAGTTCCTCCCAACCTCTCTCTCGCACCGAGTCAGGCTCTGGCTGACGAGAAGTTTAAAGTGTTGCTCGAGAATCTTCCTCCAGGATATCCACTAACCGCCCGCTCCCTCCATCACTCCGAGGACAAGGATGGCCGGGAGGCTTACGGACACTACGTCAGCGAGCCGTGGTGTCAGGTGGGCTTCTCTGTTCCTTTTTCACTTATAAAAACAAGAAAAATGAAGGAAACCAATGAACAGATGCCCAAGAAGCTGTTTAAAGTTATACATTCAGGCATAGTCGGTATAATCAAAGTCATGACTGTTTGCATAATCAGCAGGAAACACTTTGAGTCCATTCCAGCTCCTTTGGTGCAACTCAAAGTGACGACAGGTAACCTGGATACCTGCAGCTCATTCAGGTCGTCCAGCTGAAGGTTTCCTGTGTCTGACATAGTGCAGCAGATCTACTCCAGCCTGATTCTTTTTTCTACGTTATCTTTAAATTCCACCAAATACTTAGATGTTATTGTTTAAGTAAAACCAGTGAGCGTACTTGAAAAAAGCGTGGTTATTACACACGTTCTGTTACTGAACTCTTTCAATTTCTATTTCAAATGTAATAAAGCAAATAAAATGGCATAAATTGGCTTGTTTCTCTCGGCTCTTCCGGCTTCCGGATCTTTTTAGTGAGCCGAGCCAAAAGAGCCGGGTCTTTCGGCTCCTAACCGGCTCTTCAGGTTGTTTTGTTGCTTTAATTAATTTATTATCAATAAAAATATGAAATTATGCACAAAAGGAATTACTAATGTAAAAAACATCGTGGTTTTATTTGTCTATGTTTACATATAAATATATACGGTGGCCCCTCGTAAAAAAAAAAAGTGCGTCGATGCGTCATCACTTTCAAAACAGACATGGCGGCAGTGAGTAGCGGCAAAATGAGTGAGGCAGCCACAGTTGACTTAAATCACTCCACCCGAACACACAGTTCTACATTATGGGGATATTTTAACAGAAAAGGAAGTGATTCAGTCGTTTGCCGGCTTTGTAAGGTGGAAATGGCCTATCATAAAAGCACGACGGCTATGCACCAGCACCTCAAACAACGGCATCCAGGAGCAGCTTCTGCAAAGGATTAAATGTTTTAAATGTTTTGTTAACTTTTCCTTAATTGTATATATGTTTGCACATTTCATTTCTTGTTAAATGCTATCTGTAATATAAGATTGTACTACTACTACAACTTTATTTTGCAATTTTTTTATTAAAAGGTGTTCAAATGAAGAAATCTGTGCTTTTCATTGAGATATATAAATTAGTAAATGTGAAATTGCTATACAAGTCAAATAATGGGGAATTAATCGAATCAAATCAAAATAGAATCAGATTGAAAAATTAATCGCTAGATTCATTGATTAGGAAAAGCCCAGCCCTAGCCCCTAGAGACAAATCATGTACAAAGCTCAACACTGCGCCTAGCATCCTGGAGTACTTCCGTTGTGTTTTGGAGTTTGTAGGTGTTTTGTCTCTACGAGTCACCGTAAATATACTTTTATTTATTCTCTCCACATAAAATGTAATAAATAAATGATATAATACAAAAACCAACTATTTACATTTCAACTTTTAACTAATTAAATTTTCAACTTTTTCTTTTAAACAAATGTAAAGGGAAACAACACAAAACACTGCAAACCACAACACAAGTCAAGACCATCTAGTTTAACTGTATGTAAATTTGGAGTCGGTGTATTTGAAAAATTGTTCTTTATCGTATTGACAAGGTCTGTTGGGATATTCTGTGAAACCTTTTTATAGAGCTCGAACGAGCAACTCCTGTTATATTTCTCATTAAACCTGTTTAATTCAAGTATATCTCCATTTTCATCCATTATATGTGTCACACACCAAATTTGTTTTGTCATCCATTCTTCCACAAACGTAGATTTCCCCCGATTCAATATCACCCTATTATTCCACAATGGA